CACAGCCAGAAAGCACAATTTGCAAGCCAGCAAAGAATCCCTGACCAGGAACCAAATCTACCAGCACCTTGATCTTGGCCTACCCAAGCTCCAGAACCGTGAAAAATAAAATTCTGTTATTTAAGCCACTCAGTCGATTGTATCTTGTTTTCAAAGCCTGAGTTGACTAAAACAGTATCTTAGAAGAATCTTACTGTTTTCTCTAAATATGATCCTTATGTTTATATATTCAGTTGGTCTTCCTATGGAGCAATTTTATTATTTCTAGCAAGTTTCAAACTGGTTATTTTGCATTTTTAGTTAGAAAAACTATGGAGTCCCTTTGGAAATATTTTTCTTCCTCACTTACTTGGAATTTAGTTTGGTTACTTCTATATTTAAATTTCCATTTATACTTTTATTTTAAAAAAGACAATCTCATGTTCATTATATGGGTACTTTTGAATTTTCTACTTCTGCAGAACATGTCATCAGATGAGATAGTCATGCATTCATTCAGAAAATCCCTACCACTGACTAGACACAATCTATACACTAGGGCCATGGGAACAGAAAGGAAGGGCTCCACTCTTAAGGACTGTTAGGCAAAAACATTTGAACAATGAAATAGGAATATTTGGTAGAGTATAAAAAATTCATGACTTTATTTTTAATTATACTGGATATTTCATAATACAGAGAGCAAGCATCCAGTTTGAATGTGGTAAATTAGGACAAACTATGAGGGTAAGATATATTTGACTTTTGAAAAGTATAGATATTATTCATTCAAAGAAGAGAGATGGTTGGTTGGAGTGGGGGTGTCTGATTCACTAGAATATATGGATCCTTGTTTAGCAATATTTTTATCATTTTTAGTATAGCGATGAATACATTGATGGTATTTCTGAAATATTTACTAGACAATATCTGTTGGACAAAACAATGGAGCGATATTGGGATCTATTCTTAAGTCTCTTGTCATGGGAATATTTCATTTATTGCCAGTTTTCCCCCTTGGCACTATAAATGCAGTTTTTTGTGTATTATTAGACCATAAATCTTTTACTTTTTCTTTCTTTTTTAGCTACTGAGTATGCTGCATCTTGGAGCACCCATATTGCCATCTGCTGCCCCACGACCCCTAAGTCATATGTGCGACTTCTGTCGACGTCTACGTTGTTACAGGCAAAAATCACGAGGAGCATATGGTTTTCATTCTACCAAGACTTTCATTTCACGCTGTTACCAGAAGGGTTAGAAATCCTGATTGGATGGGAAGGAGATTAGCTTTTTCCCTAGTGGAATAATTTCATTATAACAGAGGGGTCACCTCCCTAAGCTAAATGTGAAAAGAATAATAGAAAGAGTACAGATCATGGGGGAAAAAAAAAAAAAACTAGAAAGGCTTTGTAATAAATTTTGATATGACTTCAGAGAGTACATCCTCACTTCATGTATTTGAATAAACCCTTTAAAATTTGGGTAACTAAATTGTTCTATTTCAATTCCCACTTTTCTCATTTACATCACTTTTATACATCAAGCACCTTCCACTATCTGGCTGATGTATAGAATAAGAAGAATTTTTCAGGGCGCTGACTCTTCTGGTCTATCCAAGTTCACTGAAAGGACCTATTTAACCCCTAAAACATCAAACACCATTAATACAGTGTAACCAAAGAGCTAAACTCTACCCTGACTGAAGAACTTTAAAAGAAATATGAAGTCATCAGGTATCTCAATGACTTGTTTCTTATTGACATCAGAAACATCCATGTATTTTATAAAGATGCACTAGAAATAAACCAATGCATGAGTATAATTTGAGCTTTTTACATATCTCTATACCTTTATTCCTGATATGAGGATTTTTAACTTAAAGTTTTTCCAATGCACTTTTCTCTGGATACTATTGAAATGAGTAGAGGTGAGTTCTGCATTTGGCTCTAAGATGACTTGCAAGAGTAAAGATCCTTTGCTGTTTCATTCAGTGAGACCTAAAGTAGTTCTGGGGTCCTTCTCAGCATGATCCTCAAAGGTTTTTATAAACTCCTATACACTAATATGTCTCCAGAGAAGATATTGCCCTATCAGTGACATTGACACCTAGAATGAGGAAAATGTGGGACTGAGAAAATGGGGTTGGTATAATGTGATAATTCTCAAGCTCTATTCTGTAATATAAAGAGAAAAAGAAAGAAAAAGAAAAGAAAGGCAGGGAGGCAGGATATCAGGAAGGAAGGAAGGAAGGAAGGAAGGAAGGAAGGAAGGAAGGAAGGAAGGGAGGGAGGAAGGGAGGAAGGAAGGAAAGAAGGAATGAAGGAAGGGAGAAAGGAAGGGATGGAGGAAGGGAGGGAGGGAGGAAGAAAGGGAGGAAGGAAAGGAGGAAGGGAGGAAGGAAGGAAGGAAGGAAGGAAAGAAGAAATAAAAGAAGGAAGGAAAGAGGAGAGGGAGGAAGGAAGGAAGGAAGAAGGGAAGGAAGGAAATGAAGGAAAATATATATTTTCCTAAAGTTGAAAATATGAAACTTAAAAGACCATCTATTGTTATAAGTATGCTTTCTCTATTCTTCTAATATAAAGAAGCCTTTTATTTTTTGTGGTAAGGAAATGGCAAATTCTTCATTTTTTACACTTGGCAACTGTATGTCAGCCTCTCCTCACTTTGTTTGGATTATTCTGGTGCATGAAATCAAGGGGACTGAGAACCACTGTACTGGCCAAAGATGAAGTGACCTGCAGTCAGCCCAGTGACTTTGGGTCTTAATCCTAATGAGGCAATAAACGTGAGCTTGGAAGTAAGTCAGTGTACTTATCTTGGCAGTATTTTTCTCATATATAGAAATGGACTTTACACTACAGCTTATCCAAACTCTCTATAGTTCAAAATATAGACTGCTGGACTGGCAAAATTATCGGTCATGATAAAGTATTTCCATTTTCTAAAATGTCTGTCAATAATTTTTTTTTTCTGAAGAATTTTTTCCACTTTTGGTCATGTGCTGAACGACAAAATCTATGAGAACACTTCACTACCAAAAATTATGGCACATTAGTAAACCTCTTGATCACAGTGTGGTGGCTGTTACTAGTTTATAAGTGGTGCTTGAGGCAGTTTTCAGCAATGTGCTAGGTATTTAGAACCTTCGTAAGACAGAGAGAGAGAGAGAGAGAGAGGGAGAAGGAGAGCATTGGGATGGGGGAAGAGAGTATGAGAGAGGTGTGGCCTCTTCTCTTTCCCATTTGTATTTCTCCTCCTTCTTTTCTTTTCATCTATCTAATCTTGCAGAATCCTTCTTAAAATTAAACAGATATCCTGTTCCAACCAAAAGCTAGATACACAAAGACCAAGAAATAAGTGATGAGCTTCAGGAATGAACTTCAGAACATGTGAATTCGAAAAGCTTTATAGTAATGTAATGTGTTGATTTTATTTTTCCTCAGGTACTTACAAGTAAAAGAAATATAATTTAAGAAAATTATAGCATAGTTCCAGGTGACATTTAAGAATTAGACAGGTGAACTTAAGTTTATTTTTGTGGTCTGTCAATGCATTAAAAACTAAATTTAGAAAACTATTTTCTAAGACATTGGTTATGAATATAGATGTTAAAAATAACTCTTGGGAAAATCAACCTGCAATTGAAGGTCATTTACAGTGAGTTACTGAAAAAGAACGTGAGGGGAAAAAATCAACTGGTCACTATCAAATAATAAGCACATCCCCTCCCATCAGAATTGCTTTTTTTTAGCCCATATCAATCGGAAATGTATTGTATATTGTTCCTTTTATCATAGTGCAAAGTTAATAGATTATAACATGTACATTTTAGTTTTTACTGAGGAGGAGCAAGTATGATAAAAACTTTGAACTTAGTAAATATAAATACACACAAATGCACTCCCATATATAAGTTGTGGTATATAACATGATATATATGTATATATTCAGTAGAGTATTAAGAACAGAATGAGGAGAGTCCTTGGGAAATATCAGAAATAGAATGACTTTAATTTTAACAACGAGTCTATAGGAATTAATGACATACATGTCACAATTATTTTGCATCTTATTTTAGTTAAAAAAATATGCAGTCCGAGTGAGACCTTTGTTCCACACACGTGTGTACTGTGCATGTTCTTTCTAAGTGGGCTAGTTTTGTTCTCATGCCATGGGAGCAGGTGGCATGAAGCTGTTTTGATGAGGTTAAAAGGCTCCTCCCCTCTCTCCCCAAGCAGCAGCCTGAAGTACGTCAGCAGTAATTGTGTGCATGGCTCGGCTGTGCAGGGAGGGTGGAGGCAAAATTGATATCAAATAAAGGTATCAAACTGAGATCTAGATGTTCCATTTAAGTTGTTGCTCATTTTCATTAGCCACACCAGGGATGAAATGCTTATAACTTAACCATTCTCTGTAGTAAGAACATTTGTTTTCAATGGATTTATATTTTTCCTCTCCATAAAGACTGAATTAGTGCTATAGTGAATATAAATGAAGGGTGTTTCTTTACCCTCTTTTCCTTTTATTATTTACTAATCAGACTTCAGCTCAGTTAGATAAAAGAGAGAGGTTCTGTTGCCTAGATGTGAGGCCTTTAATGAGGATGGGAGCCCCCAGGGAGCCGAAATCCAAACTAGAACGATGCCGCTTTCCGGTTTCTTGCAATTTCTTCAGTTGCTGCTTCTCCCTTTTCCAATGGGCCTAGTGAGCAGGAACTATCCAAGGTGCTAGAACGCTGGCAGCCTTGCCGTTCAATGCAGACGGATTGCAGAAACAGAGAAGAAAGATTACTGCTTATTTCAGAAGGTAGGTTCTTTGTTTCAGAATCCCTGATTAATCAGCAGCAGCTTCAACAGACTAAGGCAGCTGGAGAGGAGAAAGAGAAGCAGGAAGGGAGGGAGTCAGGGGCAGGGAGGGAGGGAGGGAGTGGAGGGAGAGAGAATGAGAGAGAGAGAGCTGGTTGTCACGGGGGAGGGACTATGCCACAAGCTGGGCTGCTCCAAACCTTCTGTATGTAAGTGGCAATGAGAAAGAGCATCTTTTTGGCTGAAAGGAGACATTTAGAAAGGATGTTTCTGATTTTTTGTTTTCATTTATTTTTGTCTTCGCAGAATATAATCAAATGAGGTACCTTAGTCAGCTTGGTAATTGCTTCGGGTCTTGTAATCATCTGTGTAGCAAAGTGGGTAAAATCATTCAATTTCTTCCCTGCTGGACCTGGAAGGAGAGGGGTTGTGTGTTCATCCCCACCCATTAGCTATGCCCTCTTTTCTCCGAATGTCGATTTAAGGAAGCAAGCACCTGTCTTCTGCCACTGCATCTTCCTAGCAAACTTTAAAGGCCATTTTATCTGATAGGAAGAACATCGAGAATGCTCTGATCTAGTGATGAAGAATCTCGGAGTCGACACTTTTCCCATCCTGACACAATGCACTTTAATTGAAGAAACACTGAGCTGAACTACAAGTCTATCTCTTATGGTGCTGGATTACTCCTACAGAACTGCCCTGAGATCAACCGTGAGAGAGGGCTCTGACAGACACAAGTCACCTTCTGGTTATTGCACTTAGCTCTCCCTGGGGACTTAAATTTTGGTATGTATCTCATTTTTCAGATTCTCTAAGCATGCTAATTGAATCCAGCACTAAATAGATCAAGCAATCTAGTGGTAAAATGGAATGGATTTTAGTTAGGGATACTTAATGCTGAAGTTTGCATGCCTTATTAGGTGGAGCAGAAATAAAGCCACAGTGAAGGCATCCAGGGCTTTAGTGAGCCTGAGGCTATTTTTACTCCCTTACCCACTTAGTTACATTACCATGGAAATGGTTAAACTAGATTTTCATTAGTAAAATAAGCCATGTTGAATTATTAAAAGCATTGAAAATGTTTTCCAGGGTATTAATTGACATTCAAGTTATGCATGCTAGCTATTTATCTGCTATTCTATACCATAAATATTTTACAACAGTCTCTTAGCACATTTGTGTCAGCAGTGAGAGCCCAATTTTACATTCTCAGGAAAAAAAGACACAGTACCCCCCAAAATTCAAAACTACCAGACAAACAGCAAAGCTGACACTGCTTCTTCCTGACTGATTAGACACTTTGAGAAACATTTTTTAATACTATTCAATGTCAGAAAGATTTTATTAGTCTCATCACAATAAATATTTTCTGTAAAACTTTAGGTGGACTTGTTTTACTTGGGACATGTTCTTATTTTGTTGGGGTGTCTCCATCCTAATTTTTCCAACTACTCAGCAATATTTTAAATACAAGACATGTGGGTATTTCATATCTGGAAAAACTGTTACATAAAATAGTATTTTTCACTATCATTAGGAAATACTAAAGTTGTTTTGGTACCATAGAATTTGATTTTTTTTCTAAATATAGCCAAAAAATAATGAAATTCAAATGAAAGGGTTACATGATGTAGTTTTAGTCATTTTAACATCCAAACATTTATAACCAAGTAGTGTGGAATAACAAATATAGAGAAAGAGTTAAAATTAAGTCTCTTCCTAATTCTTCACATTTTAGACAATGTTCCTATTTATTTTATATATTGTCAAGCAAGCACCAATTATACAAAGTAATGAGAAAATGTGGTCCATAAATGCAGAAATTATTTTGTTTTCCTAAGGAAAGTGCAACATACATGAGCCAACTCAGCAAAGAAAGGGACTATGTGAAGGACACAGATAGTTTAGAGAATTAGTGGAAACAGACCAGAGAAAAATATTGCAACCGCACAAGGGACAGTGGAGAAGTCTGAGAACTTGAAGCATCTGTCAAGTTTAGAAAGAGAAGTGTAAAAATCCTAGACACAAGAAGGTTGGCTATTGTTTAAAAAAATAAATAAATTATAGACTCCCAATTCAATTAGATGGTTCCCACTGTAGCTCCAGTCAGCAATTTATTAGACTGACTACATCTACTTTGCAAATAATGCCTTGTAAGCATCTGGAACCATTTGGCCCAAGCCTCCAAAAAGTATCTCAGCCACTGGCATTTTGCATGAGTCTCTAATATTAATGGAAATGTACAATCCCTTTACACCATGGGCATACAGCACCATGACAACCTGGAAGATGAGGGGGAGATACCAATTCATGATGCTACTGCATTAACACGATTTATGCCTATTTTACTCATTTTGGGAAGAGAGACCGTGGAGAAAAACTCACTGCAAAGTAATCTGCTTTCTGAGAAAAAAGCAATCAGTGTCTTTGTAGTCACTTTAGCAAGCTTTCTTGGTTGTAACTTCAACATTTCCCATTTTGGGCAGAACAGCTGCATTTTGATGACACTGAGAATGAGAAAATGAGTGTGACCATTTGTGGGGTAGGGAGTAGGATTTCAAGCATAATCAAAGTGAAATTATAGGAGTAATGCTTGACAAATTATAAGATTTTTATCAGAAGAAATTTGACATGGTTTACATGTGTTATGGGTTATAACCAGGCTAGCCTGATGATTTGGTCCTATGTGAAGTCAGCAAATTTTAAATATTAATTTGCATATGTATTTTACATATGTATCAGAAGCCTGATTATTTAAATACTTACATTTTCATACACAATGTGTTTTCAAATTGGTTTGAGTACATGCAAAACTTGTAAAAGATCTTTTTCTCCTGCTGAACAAAAACAACAAAAATTAGTCGAAATTGCCTTGGGAAACTTTTATTGGATCAATAATATGAGGAAACAAAAATAGGATTGTCTACCTCAAAGAAGATGCAATGATTGGAGTAGGAAGGAAACTCAAATCTTAGTAACTCAAATTCTAATAACTTCCTCACAGCATTGAGACAGGTGTGGTTTAAAGAGCTCAGAAATATATAAAGGTGGAGACTAGAAAACTTTCCCCTCTGCAAATAAAATAAAAACACAAATGTGAAGTACAATAAAAGTAAAATATTTAGGTTTCAATCAGGATATTTATTCCGTTCTATGTATTGTGTTCTTCTGGCTGGTCACAAGTAGCATTATAATAATCGTACAAAATAAAGTATCTTATTATAGCTATAAGATTATCTTGTAGGATTAACTGTGGCCTAAAATTAAGGAAGCTTCTCATAGAGCTTCAGGTATTAGGATTAGGAATCCACTCTCTCCCAAGACAGAGCCTTTTCTCTCTCCACCACTTAGTATATATGGCAAATAACCAAGTTAACAGAGTTGTCACAACTTTATATCTTGGAAAATAAAAGTTTCAGATTCCAGGTAAATACCTTAATAAAAGATAAAAGGACCTGTGCCTATGAAGGCTACTGGACTAACTTACTCAGATGATACTAGTACCTATAAAGCTCTGCTTTTGGTAAATGGAGATAAATTGCCCATTGGAAGGTTCTGCCTGACAAATCAGTGTACATATCTATTCTAGCCAGTCCTTATAGAGCTAGAGTGCTTGATATAACAATGTATGAAATTATACTCATGAAGAAATTTGTTCTGAAGCAAAGGGAAGAGAAATGCTTAACCATGCATGAGAAGGAAGATGGCATGCCTAATATTTATCTTACTCTTTGTACACCATTGATTCAACAATATCTTGTAATTAATCAAAAACCCTCTATACCATGGGGAACTCAATCTTGATATTAGTTGGTGCCACATTAAATACCCTCTGGTAGATTGAGACCACACACAACTGATACCTTAATTTACAATGGGAATAGTCCACATAAATCTATAATCTTAGTTCAATTCTTTTGCATACACATGTTTCTCAAAAATGCTGCTTTTTTTAAGCTTCGGAACTAAGGGTCACGTAGTGTCTTAGCTTCTTGACTTCTCTGGATGGAAGCAGTAGCAGGAAACTATAGAAAAAGAAAAAATGGGTGTTCTTTAAATGTTTTAATGTTTCTATGAATTCCATTTGGACATACCATACTTAGCTTATGCTCCACATGTGTATATAATGGGTAGTTTTATTTCAGTGGAAACAATTGTAAAGAAATGGAATGTTACCTTCAGGTCTAGGTTCAGCATTGGTAAAGTATAATGATGGCCTTGCACAAAAGAAAATAAGAAAATGGTTAACTCAATAAACAGTTACATGCTTAGCATTTAATTTATGGTAAGAATTCCATCAGTTTAATTTGGTGCAATTTAGCTGGGTGGAATGAAATTTCAAATTTTGAGAAGTGTCACAGTATTATACAAAGTGATCTTTGTGAAGGGTGTGGTCAACATGATGTAAATAACAAAGTGAAAGAATAAAATAAAGCTGAACAGTTAACCATACAGCTGTGTGAAAGCCAACATCTGTAACTTACATTAGAATGGCTATGATTCTAGATACAGTAATCTAAAAACTTAAACAAAAAGAGTCTTTTATGAATGCAGAATACCACAGTGGAGGAAAGGCAGAGAAAGGGAGGATGTGAAGGTATCTGTAGATTGTACAGGAAATCTGATCTCGGTCATTTTAGGTGCTTTCCCAGGAGGGTCCTGACACAAATTTTAAATGTTGGCCACAAATTTCAAGGAATGTACACACAGTGTTGCACTACTTGTATCAATATTGTGCATTGCAAAGAGAATACCTCTGTCTTCTAAATGAAGACCAAAGATGCTCATTTTCAACCAATGCTCAGGGAGCAGGGAAGGGGCTAAAATATCTAATTTGTTTTGAGCAAAAATGGCAACAGACTCAATGAACTCAATTAAAGGGGATGAACTCAATTAAAAGGGATGCCTATAGAAAAGCCAGAGTTCCACCTTAGTCTCACCCACTCTGTTGTCACAAATACCCCATGCACCAGTTAATGGTCGTTCAGTAAGTCAGACTCCCTTACTTACTGAGACAGAGCTAAAGATGCTACCTGGAGGAGAGGGGCCATTTGCCTCTTAACAAATACGGTCTTCTAGGATGCCAACATAGGATTAGATGTCCGAGGCAAGCCTTTATAAAATTCTTGCATACCTTATTGTCATTTAAGGACCACAAATAAACTTGACTTAATATCCAACAGTCAAAATGCAGCCAACTTTTTGGTGGTTTACAACATACCCTATTCAATATCTACCTTAGGTGTATATACAAATTTCCAAAAAACAAAGAGATTTATGGTTGTACCTGTCTGTGGGTTCTCACTGCTTTGAATTGGTAGCAGTTGTAATGAAGTAGACAATGAACATAAGGTTGTCTTTTCTCTATTGAGGCCATGAATCTATTTACTCATAGTTCAGTTGCCTGAGAAACACTTCTGGCTTGGAAGGGTGGAGATCTAGGGTTTGAGAGATGGGATGAGCTTCATAGTCCATATGTCCCAGTTTCTTTATTTTCTTTATTTTCTGGATGTGGACAATGGGGTACAATGGTTATTGGAGCTGTCCATATATATTTGATTGGGGGAAGAATGTACGAACTCCTAACCTGGCTTCCATTTACAAATGCATGTTGAAGGAAGTTGCACTACAATAAACATTGTACTTACCTTTGTTTCAAAGTAAAATTACATTTATCAAGGGGTTATATTATTATTAAATATAATTCTAGCCATGTTTAAGAATTGTGAAACTAGCAGTAATGTTATGACTATTAATAATGGTTAAATTTATGGAATTTGCATTTCTAACTCAATACTCACAACATGAGTCTATTCCAACCACTATTTTTTTTAATGTGGAAATTGTAGCTGAAAAACGTTAATTAAGTTGTACGAAGTCTTAGAGCTAGAGGTGCCTTCACTGGGGTTTATAGGCCATTCTGCCAGCCTCCTTATCCATGCTCTTCAGGACAGCCTCAGCCTCCTCAATATTACAAACTATTATACTTTTTACATGTGGACAAGTAAACAAAGAGGTGTGATGTTTAAACATTGATCGGGCCTGTGTTCATTTTCAGAGACTAAACACAATCGTCGAACAATGTTTCTTGCTCACCCTTAAAAATAGTGAAAATAAAACGTGTATGACCAACTAGTGAAGTCCACCTAAATCAACACTAGTCACAAGTAGTGCAATTATTTATTTATTTTGCTCTAACACTGCCATGAAGACATCTAGGGGGACACAATTCTGCCTTCATGAGGACTGTTCATAACACGTGCTCAACAAATACTCGAATAAATGAATGGTCATGGAATTTAATACTTTTCTAGAATTAGGTGGCAGGAGCATGTGTACAAACATTTATCCAATTTTCATTACTTTGAAGTTTTACTAGATGTGATGGTTCATTTTCATCTAAAAAAAATTGATCTCCATTTTCTTTTAAATGCATCTTTCTATAGTGTAAATACTTCATAATATTATTTAATATTTTCTCAGAACAAAAATAATTTAAATTCCAGCCAATTTGAAAGACTACTTAGGAAGATAATTAGTTTTCAGAGGTAAACAAGTAGCCCTATTGATATTTGGAATATATAAACTGTGTAGGAATCTCTGGTGTCATTTTGGTTGGAGGAAAACTTAAGGAAAAAAAAAAAAAACTTTGGGTAATAACGCCTTATTCAATTGGGAAATATACAATTTTGCTAGAGGGCAGGAAGGAGTGATCATCATCCAGCCGGAGGCATTATCTCTAGAATTCTTGTAATAGTGACTTGGCTTGCTTAACTTGGGTAGAATTAATTGTCGTGAAGTTATGCTGATCATTTTTTTATCCAGGCACTAGTAAGGACTAGTGCTTAAGTCCTTGGTAGAAGTGAATTCCTGACAATGGCAATGCTTTAGCTCTCTGAGAACCATTTTCTTGTATTTTTCCCCAAATTGCAATCATTTGTAGCATTAATTTGCTATTCTTAATGTCCATCACATAAGCATCTAATCTGACAGACTGATATTAAAATACAATTCAATTACACCAGATAGTTGGAATTAAAAGGCCATTTCATTTGCTAACCCATTACAGCTTAACATAAAACAAAACATACAAAAACTTAACATAAAAATGAAGAGTTAACAAACAACCTTATCTAGACTCCAGTTTCAATACTTTCTTACATAGGAGAGAAAAATCCTTAAATTCAGCATGGGTTCCAAATCAAATATGGATTGACTGGCAGCTGAAATGCTAATAAAGTCTGATGAAAAGTAAAATTTCCATAGTTATTATCCAGATTCTGGAACATGATTATACCTGTAAAAAAATCAGAATGAAAATTATTTGTAATTGAAAAAGCGAAAGTCTGGGAGTTTTACATCAAATAGTTGGGCTGATATTTTAAAAATATCTTTCTAAGTCTTTTAAAGAAAGTAAAACATGCAAGGGAATTGATAACTTTTGAATGGAGAATTTTTTTCCCCCTTGTTAATTGACTTTGCTTTTAGTTATTTAATCTGATTCAATTATACCAGTTTCTTATACCACAATTAATATGCAATTAGTACAGTAAGCCTTCCTTCCATCCATCTGTCCATCTACCCATCTAGCCACATATATACATTTGACATTACTATTGCTGCCAGTTCATACTTTTTAATGATAATATTAGCTAATAGTATTACATACTTACTATTGTTTAACTCTATTCAAAATTATTTACAGTCTTCACCTCTCCTAACCTTCACATCAGCAGGAGGTAGGAGTTAATACTAGCATCATTTTACAGTTGAGAGTAATATATACTAATTGAAATTCCTATGCTTTTTTGTTTTGTTTTGATTTAATTTTGGTTTCTCAGTAATCCTTTCTGAGGCTCAAGTTTTTAAAACTTCATGTAACAGTGAGACAACAGTTGTCAATGCTTGAATTACCAGACTGGTCAGGATTAATGTGGTCCTAGTGATCTATGATATGTTAGTTGTAGTATGAAGGCATTATGGAGGACCATTATGGAGAGGAATGAAGAGTTAAAAAGGATTCTTTTATAGACCTGTTATATTAGAAATGTGTTTTTCTTTTACTACTACTGTATTTTGCATAAATAGTTCATATTCATACATTTTAATTTCAAAAATTAAGGGAAGCACATATATGTACAGAAGTTCTTTCCAAATAATTACATCATTTTACTTGAAATTGAACAGAAAAGTCTTTATGGCAATCAGAAATACATGAAGCTTGGATCTTACATATCTTCTTTGTGTAGAAACATATTTTAAGAAACAAAATTATTATTGTAATTATGCAAACCAAATGTTTAACTTTGCATACAGTATTTACACCTTCACATCATCTTATAGTTCAAGACCTTTGGCCTTTGTCCTGCTAGTGTTGCTACTTTAAGAGAGGGTTTGCTACTCAGGTAGCACTTATTTAATATTTACTTCAAATATTCTGGTTGCAATTATTCTAGTGAGACATTTTTTCTAATCGGATTTGGTCGTAATCATTGGAGATTTTAGTTGTTAGGGATAATAAACAGCACCTTGCTTTTTTCCCCACCCTGGATAAAAGTAAAATGTGTTCTCACCCTGCAGGCAGTGTTCCTCTTTACATGATATCCTCCAAGATGATGAGTTCTAATCCCGAGGAAGACCCTTTGGACACATTTCTCCAGTACATTGAGGATATGGGGATGAAGGCCTATGATGGCTTGGTTATTCAGAATGCATCAGATATTGCGCGAGAGAACGATCGCTTGAGAAATGAAACTAACCTGGCCTATTTGAAAGAGAAGAATGAAAAACGCCGAAGACAAGAAGAAGCAATAAAACGGTAAATATAAATAAAATTATTTCGAGTTTTGTGCACGCAAGAAAGTCCATGAGGGCTGTTAAGGCTGTGATGTTGTCGCTTGGTCAGAAAAGGTCTTTCAGAGTCAGTTAGACCTGGCGAGAGTATATGAAAGTGAACCCTCAACTATAACAAAAACACCACCCACCCTGCCAATATCATCCTTAGTTAACAACAGTTATTTCCTTATGTGTGTGCATATGCAGCTACAGAGGGGATGGGGAAAAATTCAGTTTCCTCTGAACAAAAGCTTAGGCTGAATAACCTCTTGGCAAAGGCGCAAGGGAAAACACAAACCCTTCAATAGCCCAAGTTTGATGAAAATCCCTACCTTTAATGGCCTTTGATTATAGTTCTTACCTTTAAATAGAGCTCATCTTCTTTCTAGATTATGGCCAAGACACATCAATAATTATACTTATGTGAGCCTCTGAACGCAGGTAGAATCCTCACGGGGTGCTCTCTCTACGCAGAATTTTATGGCTGTTAAATTTCTTGTTTGGTACCAAGTGCCACAAGTTTGTTCAAATGGAATTACTTTTATGATGCAAAACCTACCAGCTACTAGCTGATGAGCCCCAGAGGGTGGCCTTCCAAATTGAGGTTAAATTTCCTAGAGTGCTGACACCAAAAGAAGAATGCATATCTTTTGATTTTTTAAAAAGAATGTCACAATGTTTTCAGTTTGTAAGTGTGTGTGACTTCTGGTGGTACAGGGAGACACCTGTGTCAGATGGAATCCTGTTTCTTCAATAAAGTTCATTCACTAAAATCCAGAATATAGGGACTTAATCTGTATCAATTAGTTTGATAACTGAATAATAATAATCTGAAAGACATTTTGATGGTTAATTGGGAGATTTTTCATCTAATCAGGCATTAATACTTTTATTTATCATCTCTGAACGCTATGATATTTAAAAAGCCAAAATATTATCTTAAAATGAATTATTCATGCTTCTAAAGAAGCTAGGTAAGATCACACTACTCCAATAATTTAATTAAAAATAACTATATGGAGAGAGAGAGATGATTTGAAAGCAAAAAGCTAGAAATAGAAAGAAATGGTGTACAAGATTGTTTTAAAAGAGAACTCTTTTTTCTCCGGACTATTAAAATGAAAATATATTATCAGGTATAAAAATTGCATAATTGATCAACATTTTCACAATTGCATGTATTTATATTTAAAGTCAATTAATTTATTGTTGAGGACTATGTTATTTTGATTTCTAACCAATTTTAACTGGTATCACAATTCTTTTCTAGAGTGTATAAATGTCTTTTTAGGACATTTTTTTCTTCTGTGAAGTATTTTTGATGGACTTTTTGTGTGTGTGAGCATTTAACTTTAGTTTTATGAGTCTGAGTTTTCTAAAACTCAAAATACAAAGGATGACCTACATGTTTTTGAAAGTAACTTCAAAACGCTAAAGTCTGAAGTTTGTAATCTTGGCATTACAACTCAATTATAAATCCTTTTCTGTAAGTATATAAATAAAATTACTTTCTGGATCATTCCATTAGCTTTTACAGAACACCCAAAGTGTGCTTATCACTGTACTACTATCTTCTGTATTTCATTAACAAGCTTCAGTAGGTTTCTACTTAAAGATTCATAGTTATTAAGACAACAAAAATGGCTAATTTTTAGGTGGTTAGCTGTCAAGTGTTCAAAAAGGGGCATAACCTCAGAGGACTAAAGTCCAAGGGACTTAGGAACAGGCATTTAGGTAGATGGAGACACAGCAAAACCCTGTCATTACATAGTAAGTGAGGTCTAAGTAATCCATTTATGTGAACTTTGAGTTGATTCCTGCTAGTCTGATAAAGCAATATTTTTCAAAACTATGTTAATAGCATAAAAGTAAAGATACTTCAAATCACACATTGAATCGAAGAAGTCCCATATTATCTGGAGACTTTCACGTCTACTCACCCCATAAGCAGAAGATAAAATTTTAGTCCTACTTGAGAATAGAGCAAAAGAGAGAAGTACATCATTTTGTTGTGTCCTAACTGCTGAGAGATAATGTTGGTTTGCATTGGGATGGTAGCGGTAAATGTGGTGTAAAATAATAAATTTATGGGCACCATTTGAATTTTCTGATTGATGAGATGCAGTAGTTGAGCAAGAGAGAAAAAAATTAATTAGAGGTGGCTCTCAGGTTTGTTCTGTTGTTGTTTTCTGCTTTATTTTGTTTCTGCCTAGGCTAGCAGAAGGATGTTTCCATTTAATGCAATGGCAAAGACTAAAAGGGGAGCAAGTTTAGGGTAAGTGATGGCAGGACAGGAGCTCAGCTTTGGTATGACGATTTTATGAAGCCTTTTAAATTTCCAAGTGGAAGTGATGGAGGCCGTTGAGTAAAGAATCTGGAAGCTACGCTAGAGTTCCAAGCCGAAGGTACAAATATGAGAGTTGCAGTCTATAGATTTCACCATCATGAGCCGATATGAGGATAACTAGAATTTAAATTTAAATAGAGATGATAAAAGAACCCAGGACTGCCCCCTGGAGGCACCTGATTGCTCATATGATAGGTGGAAGAATTCAGTAAGAACAGTTAGTGAGAGGGGAGAACCACAAAGGAGTGTGATGCCTTAGGTGAAGTGTCAAAAGCGATTAAAGAAGAGAGAGACATTTGGCTGATACATCAAATATGTTGAAGCCTGAGAACTGACCATTGCTTTTTACCACATTTGTATTATTAATAAGAACAATTTCATTGAAGGGCCAGGAACAAAACCGAATAGGATTGTGTTCACAAGATAATGAAAATAAAGGATTTGAACAGAGTATAAATAATTATTTATAAATAACATATATAAATAATATGTTATTTATAAATAGTATATATTTATAAATGATGTATTTATAAATAATAAATTTATAATTAATAAATACATCATTTATAAATATATATTATATTATACTATAATAATATTATCATTTATAACTGCAACCTCTGCCTCCCAGGTTCGAGCAATTCTCCTGCCTCAGCCTCCCGAGTAGCTGGGACTACAGGCATGCACCACTATGCCCAGCTAATTTTTGTAATTTTAGTAGAGATGAGGTTTTGCTATGTTGGCCAAGATGGTCTTGATCTCTTGACCTCACGATCCGCCTGCCTCAGCCTCCCAAAGTGCTGGGATTACAGGCGTGAGCCACCGTACCCAACTTTTTTTTTTTAAATAAAAATTTTGTTCCCGTAAGAAGGGAGAAAATTAGCATATTTAAAATGTGGGTGTGAATGATTACTGCAGAAGGAGAAATGTTGATGACTTAGAGAAAGGGAAAAGTTACTGTTAGAGAGTCCTTGGGTAGGTAGGAAGGGAGGTGTCTAGAACATTCTAGATGGAGCACGGACTGCTCAGCCCTGATAAGAGGACAGATGCCACGTTATGTGGATGAATATATCATGAATGAATGAAAGACTAAAAACTGGCATGAAAAGTTCCCAAACCTGGTTGTCTAAAGTCAAGACATAGGTTTAAATCAGGAGCCAAATTATGGAGATAAAATTTGTGAAAAACCATCAGAGCAGCTGAGAATAACTAGTAGAAAAAGAAACAGAAAGGTAGAATTAAAGAACAGTCCTTTCTCCCTGTTTCTCCAAAAGCTTCAGTACAGTTAAAGCTGCCAAGTGGAGAAGAGCTGGAGCCTTGGGTCTAGGACAAGCTCTAGTGGGAAAATAGTGGGCTAGGAAAGTAAACCAAGATGGAAGCCTGTTCCATGACTGTGCTGCGGAGGCACAGAGGAATTACTTCCATCAGGACACACTCAGACCTCACCTCAAAGACGATCACAGGTAGAGATTCAGATGGCAGCAGGAACCCTGACCAGGTGCACATATGGGAGACAGTCATTTGTGGGCCATGCCCCAAACCTGGTGAGGTCAATCATATCCCAAACATTATTTTATTACTGTCCTCACAGTAAGCACATGCACTAGGATTTGAAAAATGTATATGTGTCTTGCTAACTAGAATTTTCCTTTCTTTCCTACTTTCCCTCCCCCATGTTTTTCTAGAATTTTAATTTAAAATACGAATATCTCTGGAGGGGGCAGAATACTAGTAAAGTTTTCTAGTTGTTGAGATTTCTCAGGTGTCTTTCTTTTCCAAAATCAGGACCCACGTACGGTGTGAGGACAGAGATAGTATCTGGATAGGTAAGGGAGGAAGTTGGAGAGAGAAAAGTGAAACAGGCCAAACAAATAATGATAGGACAGGATGAGGAGGCTAAAGTCTTTAACCTCCTTATGATAGACTGGCTGTGGAATCTCAAATGATCTAGTCTCAGTAATCATGGTAACGTCCACATTCAATTTTATTTCATTCATAAGGTGACTGCATATCTCGGAGTTCTGACAATTTAAAAAGAATAACAGTCTTTCATTCTTTTCTCAAACTACAATTTTGGAATTGCTGCCATGTTCTTAATAAAAAAATGTGTTTTTAGTATTTTGAGAAAGTCCATAGCAAGTCGCTAGTCACACTGGCATTTTGGGATTCCAGGGATGGTGAAAGATACAGAGGACCAACATCTAAACCTAACACATGTTTTAATATTTTTAGCATGCAATTTACATTGAGTAGAGAGAATTCAATGAGGCATTAATAAACATAGTCTAATTACTTAAAATTATGTAACATATCTGCTTGATGCCTTTTAAAAATATACCACAGTTTAGTATATAGAATATACATGCTGAAAATCTAAAGATGGGGCATGTTTGACCTTGAAAAGGCATTGATGATAATTCTCTGTGAAATATGCCAGTTGCAATTTCAGAAACATGCAGACTGCCAAGGATTGCTTAAAAAATGGAAATAGGATTTCATATGATTGACCTTCTGGATCACATATGTGCTGAAATGCCTTTTGTGCTGATGCTGGGAAGCTTAAAACACTGAGCTCTTAGAAAAAGAATATCCTCATCACTTTCTCAGTGTTCTAAGTCACTTAGGCTTTCTGAGCC